ACACATTACAATATTAAGTCTCTATTGCGTAAATCTTAATTTGACTGGTCTAGTACGTTGGGATAATATTTCTAATTTAGTGATTTTGTTGTTGTTCTAGGTTTTGAATGATGAATTACGTGAGGCAGTAAAGGTAAGCTAATTTCTAATTTCTACATTTTCTTAAATGTTGCAATAACTCACATTCATAATGCTAAAGCTCCAAAATGCCATTTGTTTTAATTCAACCAGTTGCTGAATCAGTTCATTTAAACAAACAAATACAAAAATTAAACCGAGTTAAAATTGGTTCAAATATTGATTTATAAAACTCTCTCCACCTTTTACTACTACTTTTGCCCTTTTGTACCATCCAAAGAGCCACGTGTGTATATTTATTTGAATGATATCAAATATTAAAGTATCTTCTGCTCACCAAGGCTGCATTTATTTGATCAAAGCAGGAAAAAATCGTGTAATATTATTGTAATTTAATACCCTGAACTTCAGTTCACAGGACGACGGCTACAAACACCATGTCATCTAAATCCTCCCTTCTTAAAGTCATTCTCCTGGGCGACGGTGGAGTGGGAAAGAGCTCGCTCATGAACCGCTACGTCACGAACAAGTTCGACGCCCATCTCTTTCACACCATCGGCGTGGAGTTCCTCAATAAAGACCTGGAGGTGGACGGCCGCACGGTCACGCTGCAGATCTGGGACACGGCGGGTCAGGAGCGATTCCGCAGCCTGCGGACGCCCTTCTACCGCGGCTCCGACTGCTGCCTTCTGACCTTCAGCGTGGACGACAGCCAGAGCTTCCACAACCTCAACAACTGGAGGAAAGAGTTCATCTTCTACGCCGACGTCAAGGAGCCCGACAGCTTCCCGTTCGTGCTTCTAGGCAACAAGGTGGACGTGACGGAGAGGCAGGTGACCAGCGAGGAAGCTCAGGAGTGGTGCAGGGAAAGCGGAGGATACCCGTACTTCGAGACCAGCGCCAAAGATGCCACCAATGTCTCGGTTGCGTTCGAGGAAGCCGTCAGAAGAGTTCTGGCTTTGGAGGAGCGACACGAGCATTTGATTCCAACAGACACCGTCAGCCTGCATAGGAAGCCTCGCAGCAGCACGCGGTGCTGTTAACAGACGAGAATGACCTCCATTAGCTATTTAATGGTCCTTGAGTGAAGCATCTGCGTTTTTATTTGAACATGCACTTACTGGAATACATGCACTTACTCCTAAACACTGGGTGGCTTTCATGGATCTGAACTGCCTGAATTTAAACGATTCTGTGCATTCAGATGTTCATATATATATATGACTTATGGGATTTGAGCGGGTTAGTGCATAGACGGATATAATTTTGTCTTGCATGGCAATTAAATAGTGAAGAGCAAATGCAATAAATGCACTGTAAAAACACGCCTTGTCTTCCATTAAAAATATCGAAATGTCCTTAAAACAATTTACTTGAGAAGCACAGCTGTGTAAGATAATAGCACTTCTTTTCCGCTAACATATATTTTGCTTACCTCATGGGCAAATCATTTTGTTTCATTTCAAGTAAAAAAATAAGTTTTTTATTTTTTTTATTTTATGCATTATGTGAAAACAAGTCTATCACATGCTGTTTGATTCTTAAGTAAATGCATCTTGTTTTAAGGATGTTTAGATATTTTTACTGGAAAACAAGACAAAAATGCTGATTTTTCTCACAGTGTGCATTTTATGTGATTTTCTTTTCCTATAACTATGATTAACTTATGCCGGGCAGGCGTTCATACAGTGCGTGATCATTTCTAATATATATTAACATAATTATGTAGAGTGCCAAATATATACACAGTACTTGTACTAAACATATGAACGAGATGAAGCGTTTAAGCACGCACTCTGAAAAGAAGCAGAAAAAGTAGATTGTTAAATTGAAATTAAAGAAGTATTGAACAATACTTGATGAAATTGTTTATTTGATTTAAGGTTATTATTAGACAACAGTAATGTACAAAATCATCATGCAGTTGACCACAGGTTATAGATGTATTTCTGTCATTCCTGTTTGATGCTTTAAACACGTCTTTCAGAATAATCTGTATTCACACACCATTTGTCGTACAGTAGCAGGTGAGAATGTGAATGTAAGCTGGCGATGATGAGTATGAACAACTGAAACGTGAAATATGTATCTGACGGTATAAACAACACACCTGTATATTTATGCATGACAACAAGAATGCAAAAACAAAATAATACGGGTATAAAATGAATCAGCTGAGCAGATGCTTCTTCCCAAGAAACCGCACTTTCCTCTCGAAAGCTGTGGAGCGAATCGGTGCGTTGGGTAAAACTGGGTAAAAACACACACAAATGTTTTCAAATAAATGCAAGGCATTGGTATGGCACTGAAATATCACTACAGAATAATATATGATTTACCTTGATGTACAGATCATAAACATCATTAAAGAAGTTCTTGATTCCGTCCTCCTGCCGAACATCATGGAGCATAATAAATCTCATATGTATGCAAGAAAGTTAAGGAAAATATATATTAAATGGGTCTGTTAATATTCAACTTCTAGGGACGCGACTGACTACTGTACTATCTGTGTTAGACATTTATTGGCCTTGGAATAATAATCTGGTGCTTATGACAGGACTTATGCAAAATTGCTAATAAATATAAAATTAGTTTTCAACCAATTTGAATTTTCTCCGTTTTAGAGAGTTAAAAAATATTTACAGAAAATCTGAGTTATAGTTAACATTGGTATGGCACTGAAATATCACTACAGAATAATATATGATTTACCTTGATGTACAGATCATAAACATCATTAAAGAAGTTCTTGATTCCGTCCTCCTGCCGAACATCATGGAGCATAATAAATCTCATATGTATGCAAGAAAGTTAAGGAAAATATATATTAAATGGGTCTGTTAATATTCAACTTCTAGGGACGCGACTGACTACTGTACTATCTGTGTTAGACATTTATTGGCCTTGGAATAATAATCTGGTGCTTATGACAGGACTTATGCAAAATTGCTAATAAATATAAAATTAGTTTTCAACCAATTTGAATTTTCTCCGTTTTAGAGAGTTAACAAATATTTACAGAAAATCTGAGTTATAGTTAACTAGTACTAAAATTAATTGAAAATATATTTTTTTCAATTTTAATACATTTTTCAGTTTTAATAAAAATTGCAAAGCAGAATTTCCTAGAATTTTCTCAGTTTTATAGAGTTAAAAAAACATTTACAGAAAATCAGAGTTATTATAGTTTCCTCAGATTCATTTCCATCATTATTCTATTCATAAAGTCAACATAGTGATGTTCTTTCTATCTATCTATCTATCTATCTATCTATCTATCTATCTATCTATCTATCTATCTATCTATCTATCTATCGTTATATCTATCTATCTATCTATCGTTATATCTATCTGTCTATCTGTCTGTCTATCTATCTGTCGTCTGTCTGTCTGTCGTCTATCTCTCTATCTATCTATCTGTCGTCTGTCTGTCTGTCGTCTATCTGTCTGTCTGTCTGTCTATCTATCTATCTATCTATCTATCTATCTATCTATCTGTCGTCTATCTGTCTATATCGTTATATCTATCTGTCTAGCTATCCATCTATCTGTCTATCGTTATATCTATCTATCTATCTGTCTATCGTTATATCTATCTATCTATCTATCATTATATCTATCTGTCTGTCTATCTATCTATCTATCTGTCGTCTGTCTGTCTGTCTATATAATCTGTCTATCTGTCTGTCTATCTGTCTGTCTATCTATCTATCTATCTATCTATCTATCTATCTATCTATCTATCTGTATATCTATCGTTATATCTATCTGTCTATCTATCTATCTGTCTATCGTTATATCTATCGTTATATCTATCTGTCTATCTATCTATCCGTCTATCTATCTATCTATCTATCTATCTGTCGTCTATCCGTCTATCTATCGTTATATCTATCTGTCTATCTGTCTGTCT